CACTTGAGGGCGCAGGGGGAGCAGCCCTGCTATGGAGACACGTGCCACCACTTGAAGGCGAAGGGCCGTCGCTGCACGTTGGTGCCGCAGCGAACCTCCCCCAGCCGGCCGTGGTAGCAGCTCACGTCCTCCAGGAAGCAGCAGCGCAGCCCCAGCGGCTCCAGCAGGGAGCGGGTCCGTCTCTCCAGGCAGCATTCCCCACCCAACAGGGGGCCGAAAGGCTTGGGGATACCCAGGTCCTTGGCCAGGACGATCATGGGGACCTGCGGGGTGACACAAGGGGCGCCCAGCGGCCTCGGGATGGATGAAGGGAAGTCCCCGGCTCCTCCGTCAGCCTCGCCCCAAAGTGAATGGGGCATCGATGCCACTTCTTTGCAGACAAATCCAGAATTCCCCAACCTCCCCCCCAACCTTGAATCATTTAAACACACCCCACGCTTTGCAATGTCAGGGCTTTGAGAGGTTTTCGCCTTAAAATGATGTGTATGAGGTCCACAAAAGTGATCAGCCTCCTCACACAGGCTGAGGGAGTTGGGGTTGTTCAGCCTGGAGAGGAGAAGACTCTGAAGGACTTTATAGCGACCTTCCAATACCTGAAAGGGGCTTATAAAATGGCTGGGGAAGAGCTGTTCAGCAGGGCATGTAAAGATAGGACAAGGGGTGATGGTTTTAAGTTAGAATAGGGTAGATACAGGTTGCACATGAGGAAAAAGTTCTTTAATATGAGGGTGGTGGGTCACTGGAACAGGCTGCCTAGAGAGGTGGTGGGGGCCCCATCCCTGGAGACACTGAAGGTCAGGCTGGATGGGGCTCTGAGCAATCTGGTCTTATTGGAGATACCCCTGCTTATTGTAGGGGGGTTGGACTAGATGATCTTTAGAAGTCCCTTCCAACCCAAGGCATTCTGTGGTTCAATGATTCTGTGATTTCATTTTAACCCAACTGCAAGCAACTCAAAGCCACAAAGTTATGGTAGACCCAACCCTGGCTGGAGATATTTTCATTTTGTGTGTGCAAATGTACATATTGAACTTTTCTGGGACAACTCTGGGGACTCATCCTGGCTGAATAAGCTGGTTTTTGGGGAGGACCCAAGGAGTGGAAACCCCTCTCACCATGTTAGGGAAGTATGGCACAGCTTTTCCATGCTTGTCGAGCTTGAAGAGGGCTGGCAGGTCAATGATGTCCTGCTCTGTCAACCCCAGCTCCTTCTTGAGGATGTCTCTGTTCCAGTCAATGCAGCGCTGGAGGAGATGGAGAAGAGCAGGTCAAGGGGTGGACATGGTCCCCAGAACCATCTCTTACAGAGCCAAAATACCTCCCCTTAAGGGTTTGAACCATCCTGGGGTGGTTATTTCAAGAAATATCAGTTATTGCCAGAACTATCAGTTAATACCTGGACATACTGGTTCTGCTGCACCAGGATGTCGTTGGAAAGGACCTTGTTAATGGTGACCCGTTTCGTGTCTGACCCTGAGTACCCTGCAAATGCAAACCTTGGTCAGAAGGAAGAGGTGCTAGCCAGGCTGAAGATGGGGTACAGAGACGGAAAAGCTCCCAAAATTCTGTTCCCGAAGTTCAGTTACAGGCTGGGAGAGTTGGGGTGTTCAGCCTGGAGAAAAGAAGGCTCCAGGGAGACCTTAGAGCAGCTTCCAGTGCCTGAAGGGGCTCCAGAAAAGCTGGGGAGGGACTTGGGACAAGGGCAGGGAGTGAGAGGACAAGGGGGATGGCTTTGAATTGGAAGAGGGGTGACTTAGTTTGGACATGAGGAGGAAGTTCTTCCCTGTGAGGGTGGTGAGACCCTGGCCCAGGCTGCCCAGGGAAGCTGTGGCTGCCCCATCCCTGGCAGTGTTGAAGGGCAGGTTGGATGGGGCTTGGAGCAACCTGGGCTGGTGGGAGGTGTCCCTGCCCATGCAAGGGGGTTTGGATCTAGATGATGTTTAAGGTCCCTTCCAACCCAATTCTGTGATTCTGTGATTCTATGAAAACCCGAATTTCCTGAGCTCGGGGTGAAGGCTGGGGCAGTCTCAACTCTTACTTTATTGGAAAACTAAGTGGGAGGAAAACCTCTGCCTGTTGGAAAGAGCATTGGAAAGGTCCCATCATCCACCCTCCTGCCCACAGAAGTAATCAGCTCCTAAATTTCTCAACTCAGCTCCATAAAGCTGCCACCTCTCCCCTTGTTCAGGGACCTAGGCAGGTGGCAATGACCTCGGAGGGACCCACAGAGGTATGGAGACCTTTCCCCAAGCCCATTATGGATGGGTGATGTTCAAACCCACAATTAAAGGATGTCCAAACTGGCAACCAAGGAATCATTGGTACTAATTGTGGGTGACACAAGAGCCCCCTGATTGTCCCCACTCCATGCTGGAGCTCTGCTGGCATTTGCAGAGGTGCTCCATCCCACCAAACAACCATCTCCTGTCCCACCCATCACACTCGCTTTCCCAAAATAGGGCTGGAGGAGGCTGGGTGTCGTGGGCAGGCATCCCATGTGTCCCATGGAGTGGGAATGTCCCCACATCCCCCCGAAACCCGCACGTGGATCAGGCACTGCCGCCCTCGGGTCGGCTGCTTGGTGGGGTGGCTCCAGCTGTCCCAGCTGGCATCAGAGCTTGGCTGAAGCCATCCCTTTGTCCCCCCTTGCCTTTGAACATGGTGGCTTCACCCTGACCCTCCTTCTGCTTCTCCCGGAAGAGCTTGTAGCACGCCACGGGGCTGGCCATCAGCATCCGAAATCCCTGCGGCAAGATGGGGAGGGAGAACAGTCACCAAAAGTGCTTCATCCAAAGCCTTAGGGGACCTTCTTTTGGCCAGGAATTTGAGCTTCAACTCTTAACATTGAGCATTTTTTGCTCTTTGGTGCCTTTTCAAATGCAGGACATACCTGAAGGAGGTGTGGTGATTTACAGTGTTGGCAAACACCCTCCTAACTACCCCCGACAGGTTAAACTGCTGCTGGGACAGGGAGGAAAACTGCAGTTGGGTCCAATCCTGCCCACCCCAGATGGGGTATATAAACCCCTGGGGAGGTGCTTGCTGGAGGTCTGGGTGAGCTGGGGTGGTGGGTGAGGAGTGTGGCTGTTGCCCAGGCTGGTATTGTTCTCTCTGGATTGGTGTTGTACTGCAGGAGGGACTAAATTAATCTAGTTTTCTGGCTTTCCCAGGAGAGGCTACAAATCAGGGTGAAGCCAATGCCCTGGAGAGCTGGGAAATGTGGGTTTGTAGGGTCTGAGGTGTGTGCTGGCTTCCTTCCCACCAGCAGAAAGGTTCTCCCTGCTTGCTGTAGTCCTGATGGTATCTCTTCAGGGGGCTTGGCACAGCCCTGGGAGGGGGGCAAAGCCCTGAGTGGAGGTTTTATGGGGGTGGGGAGGGGTGGGTGCATAAATATTCCTTTTCTGAACCATCCAGGTCCAGGCACGATTTCTCCAGGAAAAAAGTCCTGTGTTGGAAGCAGTGAAAACCATGACAGAGGAAAGAGCTTCTAAAAACATGAGGGAGATGCTGAGAAGATGTGAGCCCTGGGCAGCCCATATGGATGTTGAGCTTTGCATTTCTTGGCCAACCCTTTGCAGGCACCTTTTTATCTTCTCCCTGTGTTTCTCATTAACTCTGCCAGTCCCTTTTTGTGCTCAGAGCCCTCATTTTGTGGGTGAGGTCAGAACCCAAGTTGGGACTGTCAAGGAATTGGGGATTTTCCTTGCAGATTGTTCTGGTGGGATTGGGAGCTCAGAGGAGAAACCATGAAAGGGTTTGGGGGTTACCTTAGTGTCAGAGGTGGGCACAAAAGTGACAAACTCGTTGACTTGACCCATGGACAGCCAGTCAGAGTAGAGCTCCACGGGAGCCTGGACTTGTTGGGCGTAGAGGAAGTCCCTCACCAACCTGGTCATCCTCCTCCCGCCAGATCTGGGGTGAAATATCCCCAAGAGAGGGAATAAAAGGGAGTAAATATTTAGGCATCAATATGTAAATACCTCTAAATTGCTCCCAAGGTGGAGGAGAAAGAGAGGAAGGGGCAAAGTGAAGGGAAAGATTGGATGTAGCTACTCCATAGTATACCAGCTGGTCAGGGAATGGTTAATTAATGCCCTTAATGTGATTTTTAAAAATGTTATTGAGGTGCATTTGAAGTTTCTTTATTCCCAAACATCTGGGTTTCCCATCTCTTACGTGGGGAAGCTGCTGCCAATGAGGATCCTTCCCAAGGGATACTCCTTCCCTGCCACGGTCACGGGTGGGCTGACCTCCAGGTTGCCGAAGGAGTCAAGGCTGGTGGTGGCTTCAAAGAGGGGCTCTCTGCTCACGTAGCCAAAATCTGGGCCCTGGGGAAAGAGAAATGGATTGAATTGCTGGGAAGAGTGTCCTCTGGTTCCAGGCCTTTGTTTTTATTCCTTCTGCTGGGCTCAGACCTGCTCCAGAGGATAAAAATATCAAGAATGAAGCCATGGATGGGAAGAGAGGCAAGAGGATCATGGAATCAGAATGGTTGAGGTTGGAAGGGACCTTAAAGATCATCAGGATCCAGCCTCCCTGCTATGAGCAGGGACACCTTCCACCAGACCAGATTGCACAAGCCTCATCCAACCTGGCCTTCAACACCTCTAGGGAGGGGAAGAAAGGTCTCCCTGGCATTATCTGGGCTCCATAATCCTAAAATCATGGGGGTTGGGTGGGACCTCTGAAGATCATCAAGTCCAACCCCCCTGCTGCAGCTGGAACACATGGTAAGTGGAAGGGGCAGAGCTGGGGAGAGATCTTCTCTGTTAACCTGCAGCCAGCATTGAAGTGTCCTCATTAAGCTAATTAAGTGCTGAGGTAGACCCAAAGCTGAGATTCTGAAGGGCTTTTTCCAAGTGAGATGGACATCAGCCCTTGAGGGTAAATCTACCCCATAAGAGCCACTCAAAGGACTTCACTCAAATACTATTTAAGCCCTGTTTTTTAGGACTTGATATATATCTGGGATTTCAGGAGTTGTTCATGCAGGGGTCATAACCCCCTGGCTGGGATATGCCAGGGGCAGATGCAGATGTTAAAAATGGGGCAAAAATGGAAGCAGTGGAACAAAAATCCTGTCTTGAACCTGTCCTTGCTCTCTGGTTCAAGTCAATGTGGGCTTGGAGCTCCCAGCAGCCCTGGGGTAAGATCAGGTATCCATTGGGTTGGCATTAAATCCCAATCACTTACTAGTATTTCCTTAGGGATAAACCACGTGTACAGGTCAGTAAAGATGAGCAGGGTGACCTGAGGGTGCAGGGTTATGACCTACAAGTTGCTTTTCTTTTTGAACTGAGGG